TGCATAAAAGTGCTCAAGTCCATTTACAAAGAAAACAGCTTAAACCGGCTTCGTTACTTGCCCATGGCTTTTAAGTATCAGATCTAGTACCAGAATCCACTATGAATTCTTCCCAATGCAGTCCTGCTTTGAGTTCACGAGGGAGGAAAACTTTGGTCAGGCCATGGCAGCTACTGATTTATCAGGAGACCTTGTGTTCATCTCCTACAGGGTTTGTTTCCTCACCATTTCACAGGCGAAGAGGACTGTGTGTGTTTTATGCACATATTAAGCAAGGTGCAGGGCATAATTTTTGGGTTAGCTCCTCCGACAACACACTGCCCTAGATGTTAGGGAACTGCTGATATCCAGAAGTGATGACAGGTTGCAGGTTGGTAGGAAGCTGAGCCAGGCCTCTACAAGCAGGGTAGCATCAGTGAGGGGCTGTTCACAATGGCTACTATGCTTACAGGACATGCCCTGGGGCGGAGAGGGAAATGACGGAGGGCCACACCCACCTAGTGATAACTTGTCACTTCCAGGGAAATGATGGTGTTTAAACCGTACCTTCTTGGCTCTGGGTTAAAAAGTAGCACTGGTAGTTTGTATCTGCTCTTCCTCAGGCTGGAAGCAATTTCTGTAAAAGGTTGGGGTTTGAAAATATCCAAAAGAAGTGGACTAGTTAAGAAAAGTGATTGTTTTCTGAGCCTCATTTCTCAAAGGAGGCAAACTGTATACCATGGATCAGAATGACAGATTAAAAGACCATTGTCAGAAGGGTAGAAGGCCTTCAATCAGACATTCCTATAAGCAGGAAGTTAGACTTTGAGTTAGACTTTTTTTTTTCCCCCAGTGGTACTGGGGTTTGAACTCAGGGCCTCATACTTGCTAGGCAGGCACTCTACTACTTGAGCCACTCCTCCAGCCCTTTTTTGTGAAGGGTTTTTCGAGATAGGGTCTTGTGAACTATTTGCCCAGGCTGGCTTTGAACCACGATCCTCCTGATCTCTGCCTCCAGAGTAGCTAGGATTACAGGTGTGAGCTACCTGAGCCCAGCCCTTCCTAGCTTTTAAGTGTCTCCAGAGGCTAATAATAAAAATAGCTTTGCAGGCTGAGCAGCGATGCTGGGCTGGGAGGTCCCAGCCAGAGTGAGCAGAGCAGAAACTGCCAGGTCAAAGGGTGCTGCTCCAACTCTGTCTTGTGAATCTGCATCTGCAGGAGGAGGAAGAGACCTGTTTTTCTCCTGACTTTTGCTTTAGAGAAACAACAGAAATGTCCTGCCAAATACTTTCAGTGCAATTCTCCAGCACGTTTACTTCCAGGCAAATCTAGAACTAGGCGAGGGATGTTGGAGCACGTCCTCAGAGTCTCTTGAAAGGAAAGGGCATCTGAAGGAGTGGCAACCATTACAGCACTGTTCTTGGACAGGTGCCGACTGAGGAGCTGTGGTGGTGATGGGCTTTCTTGGGCCTGGCCCTGGCACTTGCCTGCAAGAACTTGGAGGTTCTAAACCAGACGGTGGGGGGTGGGGTGGGGGGGTGAGATTTGTTCTAAATTAAAGTCACTTAAAACATCTTTTGAGGGCTGGGGAGGGAACTCAGTGGGTGCTGGATGGCTTAGCATGCTCAAGGCCTTTGGTTCCATCCTCAGCACTTCATACACACACACCCCAAAACTAAGAAACACAGTTTTCATAACTTCAATGCATTAGTCCACTCGTCCTTGTTAAAGGAATGGAAGTTCCAAATGAGTGAAAGCACTTAATAGCATTTCTTGAAAATATTCAAGCTACAATATTTATCTTTTAAATGTTTTTTTTTTTCCAGTACAAGGATTTGAACTCAAGGCCTCGTTTGATAGCCAGATGCTCTACCACTTGAGCCCTTCTACCAGCCAAGCTTTTTTCTTGGTCTTTGAACTTAGGGCCTTGTACCTGCAAGTGCTCTGCCATTTGAGCCATGCCCCAAGCCCTTTTTCCTTTATTTTTGAGACAGGGTCTCACATTTATGCCCAAGCCAGCCTGGGGACCAGAGTCTCCTATTTAAACTTCCAGCATAGATGGGATAACAGGTGTGTACCACCATGCCCAGCTTTTCATTCATTGAGATGAGGGTCTCTTTGCCCAGGTTGACCTGGAACCACTATCCTCCTGATCTCCACCTCCACATAGCTGGATTACGGGTGTGACCCACTGTATCCAGCTTTTTAGTTTTTTTGTGGGACCTGGGTTTGAACTCAGGGCTTTGTACTTGCAAAGCAGGTGCTTTACTTGAGCCACAACTCCAGTCCATTTTGCTCTGGTTATTTTGGAGATGGGGTCTTGAGAAATATTTGCCTAGGCTGGCCTCAAACCATGATTCTCTTGATCTCAGTCTCCCAAGTACATAGATTACAGGTGTGAGCCAGTGGTGGCCGGCCATAATCACCTTTTAAATTAGGCAGAATTAGTGATTTTATTTTATAGCTCCTTTCCTAATCATGCAGCATATTTTAAATACATTTTGTGGAAGGAGGGTGTGGTGCTGCATGCCCATAACCTCAGCTACTAGGGAGAGAGAGATTAGGAGGATGGCAGACTGAGGCCAGCCTGGGTACAAAGTTAACGAGACCCCATCTCAACAAAGCTGGGTGTGGTGGTATAAGTCTATCATCCCAGCTATGCAGGAGGGTGTAAGTATGAGGATCATGGTCTGAGGTTGTCCCCAGCAAGCAAGACCTTATCTGAAAAATAACCTAAAGCAAAAACAGCTGGGGGATGGGGGTGATGGTGCAAGTGGCACAGTGAGTATCTACTTACCAAGTGTGAGGCCTTGAGTTCAAACCCTAGTACTGCCCACCCCTGCATATTTGGAACTAGTATGAGATTTGGCATCAGTCATCAAGAGCTTGGGGTATGGCTTAGTAGTAGAGAATTTATTTAGCTTAGCATTCCCAAAGCCCTGGGTTCAATCCCCAGCACTGGCAGGGGTGGGGAGGCTCTTAAGACTCGAATCCTTGGGCTAGAGGTATGGCTCAAGTGGTAGATCACTGGCCTAGCAAGTCTGAAGCCCTGAGTTCAAACCCCAGTACCACCACCAAGAAAATAAAAACAAAAACATTCAAATATTTACCATCCCACTCCACAGTTCTGGCAAATTTCTTAATCCCTCTGGTCTTGTTTCTTTGTCTATAAAACGGGAAGGCTACCTCATGAAGTGGTGTTGGATATTAAGTATGTCTACATAGGTTTGTGCACATATATATGGCTGGGAACATACATAGGCCATGAAAGTCAGGATCCCCAAGGAAGAGATGGCACTTTAGAAGCCATGCTGGTGGCCCAGAGGGATCAGCTGGGGTGCTGAGAAGAAAGAACAGTGTGGTCATATAAAAAGGGCAGAGTGGGGTGGGGAGTGACTGCTAATGGGTACTGAGCTTTGTTCTGCAGTGATGAAAATGTTCTGAAGTTTGGTGGTGGTGCTGTTGCACAACTAATTTACTAAAATTCATTAGTACCCTTGAAAAGAGTGAATTTTATGGTACCTGAATTGTGTCCCAATTATACTATTTATTTTGTGGTGCTAGGGATTAAACCGTGGGCCTTCTGAATGCTAGGGAAGTAACTGCTCTACCACTGAGCAACACCCCCAGTTTTAAAATACTTTAAAAACAGTATTGCTGTTTTAAAAGGGGACACAGAAAAGACGAACAAGAACATCTGGACAGGCAATGAGAAAAGAAGCATTTCCAGTCTCTGGTGAATTCTAATTTATAGGATAAAAAGTCATTATTTAAGGAGGGCAAGAACCTGTTTCTTTGGCTAAGTCGCAGGATTGTAGACTTCCATCATACTGCCTGACATTTCACAGATAGATTCTCCTTCACTTTTTGGCTAAAACATGACTGTTCACATGATGGTTTTCAACACTTGCATTATTTCATGAGAAATACTTATCAACACCAATGATTTCATAATCACCATCCCCAAACCACCTCAAGGTTACCATTCCCATACAAACAAACATAAGCAAAACCATTTAGATATTTATTATTAAATTACATAACAAAGCTTCCTCTATACAGTCAGAAAATGCACATTTAGATGAGAACAAAAATTAAGTACAAATACAATAAAATTGGTTCCAAGGAGCTATTTCAAAAGCAAAAGATTAGAAAGTGCATTTGGAAAAGAACAGATTTTAAAAATCTGTACTGGCATTTTACATGAGGAATTATCTCCATCATGGTAAAGTGTGATTGGGATCGATCTTACTCCCCACCAAGAGCTAACAGGGTAAAGACGGATGCAAACATTTTGGTACTAAAGTCTGATTTTAGGCTAGGTACAAAGAAAATGAGAAAGATCTTTCAAGACATGGCTTGGCTTTGTCTCCGCTTTCTATCCAAATAAAAACCATTAAAATTTACTTGTTTCTTCCTTATTTTCCTTTCCTTTGTGAAACTTAAGGGTATGCAACTTTATAAAAGAATAAACAAGATCAGCTTATTAAGAGCATCATGAAAAACTCTGCATCTTTTTGGAAACCACACTAAATAACCCCTAACCTAAAAGGAGAACAGAACACAATCATTGTAATTTGAATAGGACCCATTTGTTTTTTAGTTATATTTAACACAAAATTCAGGGAGACAATGGACAAAGCCCCAGTGACTTAATATTACAAGTTAGAAAACACAATCAATTTCCAAAAATCATGTTGGCTAGTGATGAATGATAAAGGATTAGAAACCAAAAAGGCTAGACCAGGTCCTAAAAGTCATTTTCACCAGGCTGAGATCAATAGTAAAACAGAAAATTAATGGCAGGAAAACAAATCCAAGGTGCTTCAAGTCATTGCATCACAAGACCTAATAAGTGTATTTTCCTATTTAGATGTATTCCACCCAATATGAAAGAGCTAAGTAAATATTATTTGGTTCCAGGTACAATAAGTCCCCTCAAAGTGTCTCTTCTTATTACCTATCTCCATTCTCAGTTTACTCTGCAACCGAGTACTCGGCACATGGAAAAGACATTCTCTATAAAAGTAAATTTTGGTACACAGGAGAGTAGATAGTGGAGAAGGAAAACCCTCTTCTAATCTTAGAAAAATAACTGATGAGCAATACAGGTTGCAGCATCAACAGTAACAAGAGTCTGGAGACTGCCAGGATGATGATGTACAGCACTTGGATAGCTGGGCTTAACCTTGAGTAATACATTGATAACATTTTTACTAAGTCATCAGTATACATTAAAACAAAATCTTAGACATATGCCATTTGGAGCCAGACATGGTGGTATGTGCCTATAGTTCCAGCTACTTGGGAGGCTTAGACAGGAGGATTGAGAATTTGAGGCCAGCCTGGGCTGGCGAGATTCTTTCTTAAAACAAACAAAACAGCAGCAACAACAACAACAAAAAACACCATTTAGAATTTTCTGCCCATTTGTTGCCATTGTTTTTCACATCTTTTAGTAAAGTGGAAAGCTTAGGATGGTTACTAAAAAGATCCAAAAAGAAGAGTTATTACATAAAACAATGGTTAAGGAGCACAGCTTCCCTAAGAGGCAGCATTTTCACTGGAACCAGAAACAGACAATTCCTTCTGACCTCTGGGCTCTGACTAGTTTTAACAAGAAACTAACTGTTGGCTCTTGAGCCTAGCAACAGGTCTATAAAGAGGACAGCAAAAAATGGGAGAAAACTAGGTGACTGAAAAAATAAGAAATTCAAACCAGCAATCACAGGATCCAATTTAAGCCCTTCCTGTAAAGGGCACATCCCCATTTCCTTTCTGCCAATAAGGCAGGAACCAGAAAGGAAGGAAGAGCGCCCTCCTGGACTTCCAGGCTCTCTTGGCTCTCTGGGGCTGTATGGGTGGCGGTACTGGGAAGTTAGTCAGACTTATCTGACTCCAACATCTACACCAAACTCTTTAAACTTCCTTGGAAGAACTGTTTTCTCTATTTTCATAAAGAAAATAACCAGCCAAATTCTATTACTTCATCTGAGCACAGCTGTCCTGGAACAGCCCATCAGTCATCAGCATTATTGCTGGCTCAGCTGCAGCTACGTTAGCTAGTGTCCAAGTGTTATGCTCACACATCAGCTGTAATGAATGAACCAAATAATCAGACCAGTAGAAAAGACTGGCAGTATAATTAAATAAATAACTTTATTTATGATACTTCAGATTTTATAAGTGCCAATTACATAGCAACTAAAATCCCACAAACTCTAGCTGAGGCACAACCACCTATTAAGGCCCTTTGAAAAATCAAAGATAATAGTGTTGGGGGAGAGAATTTTGTTTTCCCAAAAGAGAATTTAATAAATGAACTTACTTCCCTGATCCTTTAAGGTTCACAGTGGGAAAATTTAACTTTAAGGGTATCTCTAGTCATTGAACTGATCAACCAACCCATATTTAGAAAAATAACCCCCATACTTAAAAAAAAAATATCAAATGCCCTTCATACCCAGAATGTAATAAAACTTTGACACCAGAATGACCAATCTCTCAGTCTCTGTCCCAGATCAGTGTCAGTTTACCCACAAGATAGTATAGCAGGTCCACCTGAACAGTACCATCTACACACCAAGATGTAGTAAAGAACTACAATCCTTTTATCCCTGTGGCACAGCTAGAGGCCCATACTATAATACCATAATCAATTTCAATGGGAAAGAGCAGTCTTCTTTAGACGAGGAGTGTAGATGCTGAAGTCTATAAGCTATCTGGAAGTTCAGTAAGACAAGCGATGAATTTACAGAAACTGAGACATGGTAAACTTGAATTCTGGTGGCAGTTTAAAGTTTTGTCACTGTCCAGAGACAGGTGCAGAAGACACAGAAATCTGTCACAGGTACCTTTACAGTGACATGTCTGGATGTTTGGAGAGCTGAACAGATCTGGAATGAGTACATTTTCACAGAACACAGAATTCCTGGTACATGAGCCAAAAGCTCCTAAACCTTTGCTCCTGAGTTGCAGACCATCTGCAAATGGAATTATCTGGATAGTGAGCCTAATATCCTCTCACATGTGCCAGAGCAGTCCCCTCCCTCCAATACCAGTGCAAATCCTGACATGATGAGAAACAGCTGGAAGCACTTACAACATTGGCTGCAAGTTTCTTTTGTCATGGGAGAACTGAGATTTCATTATCTTGTAGTAGCAAATATTAATCCAATGGAAGGAAAAAAAAAATCAAAACAAAGACTTGTTCCTTTAAAAAAAAAGCCTGTCATTCTTACTGTTTTTCCAGCAATACAGTGAACCCCATTGTAATCATAATTGTAAAAAAAGAAAATGATATACTTTTTTTTGCAGTGTTGTTTCAGACAATTTCAAACATGCCAAAGTTGGCCTATCAGCATCTCAAAGAATCTGTGAAAAATGGGATGCCAAAATTTTCCTTGAATACCAAAAGAGTTGGGAACACAGTAAGAATCTATAGCATAGATTACCAAGAAAGGACTTGTAATTTCTCATCATGAGTGTTAAATAAAAAGACAAGAATTACTTTTATTCACAACCCAATCTGGTGACTGGAAGAAAAGCAGTCTTTGGACATAGAGAAACTTGGTATTCTGAAGAGTCCAAATGAAAGACCTGGCTGGTATCAGGCTTCAACACCCTCACTGAAGCACAGAAACTCTGTTTTTGATTGGTTTACTTACCTCCTAGGGAGACAATACCAACTGAAAATCTTTTTTTTTTTTTCCTCTAAATTAAAAACAGAGAAATGCTTGTTAGAAAAGATAGCACAGAAAAACTGTGGCTTCAGCTCAACCCACCCATGTCACAGAGTCCATTGCTCTCAGCTTTGAATTCATCCACTGGTTTGGCTAAAGATCAGGACAGTCAACTTCTCCTTCCTACTTTTCCTTATTCCAGATAAGGGCGTGAAAATGGTGGCGGTCAAGAGTCCCAGGAGGCGTCCCATCAATGGAACGCATACAGCAGCAATAGGATGGTACAAATACCAATTACACCACCCAGGATGAGTGAGTCTCGCCGCTTCCTAAGGTTGATCCTCTGGATCAGGCTGTTCACAGCAGGAAAACGATCTTTGGGAAATCTTTATTAAGGTCATATTTGAAAAAAGTCTCTAGTGAAATGTCACAGAAATCACAAAAACAGTGATCAGTGAATCCAGAAAGAAGAAATGCAGGACTGAGGGGTTTTTCAGCAAACACACATTTCAAAACTCAGACAAATTCAAGTCTCTCAGTCTTGTGTGTAGTACACAAATAAGAACATGAAAAAAATTAATATATAGAGAGAAGAATAGAGTGATGACAGTTCCCATGTACTGAGGCATTACTGTCAAGCTTCAGGTCAGGGTGGAAGCCAGGGTAGTCAGGAACAGAGGAACTCTGCAGGGCAGGAGGGTACAGTACATCCAGCCATTACCTTCTCCCCCATCCCATTTCCCTTTTATCCTCCACTGACCCTCCTCACTCCTCTTCTCTCAGGAGACTGGGGAGTTTTGCCTGAGGGTTTAAGAGAACATAATCCTCTCCCCAAGAAGGGAAATAACCCTTCTTGGATTCAGGGAATTAGTGGAACCAGCTGTATGGTCTATATAACCAGGGACTGGTGAATTTTTAAACAATTTAACTTTACTTTGCAGCAGGATATAGTAAGAAAGTGGGTTAAAATGCTCTAGCTGTCCTATTTAAAGAACATTAAAAAAAAGGAAAGAGAGGAAAACTTCAATTTTAGGGGTTTTATAACAGTCATGACTGTATTTTACTTAGTATTTCAAGTTTCAAGTTATCTTCATACTTTCACTTGTTTGTATGTTGTAGACCAAAGTGCCCACATGGTTTTGTATTTCTAACAGTTTCTTACAACACCTCTTCAGGTGCAATCCTCTTTGTTAATAGAGGTATTATATCAAGTTCAGGAAAACCAGTAACAAAAACCACCAAGGAAAGCTGGAGTTGTGGCTCAAGTGGTACAGCATCTACCTAACAAGCACAAGGCCTTGAGTTCAACCCTCAGCACCACCAGAAAAACAAAGCAAAACAAAAAACCAAGACCAACCAACCAAGGATAGTAATCAGCTGGAATGATCTTCTCTCCTCGAGAATCTTCAGTGTACTTTCTGTACAAAATGACTACCACCAGGGACGTTTACTTGTGACTCATATATATGTACTTGTATACATATATACACATATGTATTTTTTGCAGTACTAGGGACTGAACTCAGAGCCTCATGCTTCTGTGTACTTACTGTTCTACATAGTATATGTTCATGTCTTCTTATCTTGAATTTTCTTCCATGTCTAGAATATTTTATACTGCAGGCATTAATTTTTTTTTTTTTAACTATACTGGAGCTTGAACTCAGGGCCTTCACCTCGAGCCACTCCACCAACCCAGTTTTTTGTGATAGGGTTTTTTGAGATAGGGTTTGGCGAACTATTTGCCTGTGCTGGCTTCAGACCAAGATCCTCCTGATCTCTGACTCCTTAGTAGCTAGGATAACAGGCATGAGCCACCAACACCAGGCACATTAATGCATTTTTTAATTAATTAAGACACCTGGCAGAAACAGTTTTAAAAATGAGGAACAGGATGTAATGAAGTGAAAAACTTTTACAAGATAAAAATCTCATGTAGAGAAAATGCTTCATATTCTCTTGCTCAGTAAAGGATAAACAAATCTACTGAATATATAAATTTTTGCTGGCAGGAAACCTTGTCTATAGTGGACATATTTTTGTCTGCTTTGCCTTGAGGCGACTGCCTCTCACTCCTTCTGTAATAATCTATTTCGGAGTCTGTGACTGGGTGGGGCTGACCTTGCCCTCTGCCCTCAGGAGTAAACACAAACTGACCAGTAGCAATATTCCTCCTTGGGCAGTGGCTGGGTTAGGAATGCACAGTGATTCAAATTGGAGCAACCATGGTCCCCTTGGGGCTTTCTGACAGCTGTTAGAAAGGACACCCTTTTTCCACAGTCTTTTGAGCTGATATCTTAGCCATCTCTATCACTGTGAGGAGAAAGCCTGCCTGAGAATGAGGCTAACACAGGAAAGCAGAGATCCTTGATGGGGAAGGGAGGGAAAAAGTGGTAAAAGGAGCTCCCTGAAGATAGAATCTAAGCCACTGAATCCAGCCACACCTTAAGTCAAATTCTACCCCTAGGTTTTACTGTTACATGAACATATTATTTCCCTCCTTTTCTCCTTTAACTTGGTCTGAATTAGGTTTCTGTTAATACCTCACACCCATTTTATTTGATTTTTTGGACATACATTCTTTTGGAATGACTGTAAAATTTGTGAATGGCATCTATAGTAGGCACTATGCTGGCATACAGCTTTACCTTAAAAGAACTTGGGGTTGAGCAGGGACAAATATGTCCAGGATACAGAAGAGGACAGGAAGAACAAATTTGAATGGAAAACTTGGAAAGGCTTCAATGTTTTAAATAACCCCACTATCCAATTCCCACTTCCATTTTAAAGTTTCAATGGTTCCACTAAACAGAAATTCTTTTATATTTACTAAATAGTCTCTGCTTTTGCTGACCACCAAGTTCATAGTTTAAGAAAGAGCCTGGCATGCTCATGCTGGCATGAGCCTGGCATGGTGGCATATGACTATAACCTCAGCACTTGGGAGGCAGAGGCAGGAGGATTGGGAATTTGAGGCCAGCCTGAGCTACACTGTGAGACCTTGTCTCAAAAACCAAGGGCAGGGGGAGTAGTTCACTGGTGGACTAGCATGCACGAGGCCCTGGATTCAATCTCCAGCATCGTAGAATAGAAAGACAGCCTGTTAGCTACTCAGGAGACTAAGGAGGGAGGATCATTTGAGCCCAGAAGTTCAATACCAGTCTGGGCAACATAGTAAGACCTTGCCTAAAAAAGAAAAGAGGGGAGGGGAGGGAAAAAGAGGGGAAGAGAGGAAAGAAAAAAAGACACAATTTCACAGAAAATGCAATGAGAACTAAAAACCTGAATATTTAATTTGCTGTATAATACTACCTGTGGACTTAAGCCAAGCCACTTTTCTGAGCCCAGTTCTTTACCTGCAAAACAGCAATAACAATTTCTGTACTCTCCCCTCGGTGGTAATGACAGAGTGAGATACTGCATGTGGCGGTATCTGTAAGCTGTGTAGCACACTGCATAAACTGTAAGCGACTTTGGATGTGTGGTTTTACACTAGGGTAACAGGGCCAGAACAAAATTCACAAAACATTGGAAATACCAACAAACTTCAGGAATATCCTTTCCCTTAGGCAAATAGGTATCAAACCAAAAGTGTCCTTAAATTGATCTAGGACCAGAAAATACTCAAATTTTGAAAATTATAGGCCCTTCCTGCCACACTTATTGGGGAAGAAAGCTTTCTTTTCCTCCCTAAAAAGCTTGTCTTCTCAGAGTAGTAGGTTAGCAGTTTCCCTTCTGGGCTTCTTGGCAGTATTAGAATCCTAAATTGGTAATTCTAAGTTGGGAACAAAAAAATTAAAAAGTGGAGGTCACAACAAAACAAGCAGAGAATCTATTCTGGAATTCAGCTGTATATTACCCTCTATCCAAGTTACAACATATCAATGTGTAAGGCTGTCTCCTCTGGTCCCTTCCAATGTTCAGCCACTGAACTTATTCTCCAAACTGAAAAAATAAAATATGATTTAGGATGTTTAGGTAAGAACAAATATTCTGGGAGTCCTAACATGGATTCTGAGCTTTTTTTTTTTTTAATTGTTTTGTTTTATTTATTTACTTACTTACTTATGAGATAGTATCTCACTATGTAGCCTAGGCCTTGAATTTGCAATCTTGCCTCTATGTTCGAAGTGATGGAATTATAGGACTGTACCACACCACACCAAGCCTGAGTTTTCAAAGTAAAATAATTTTGTGAATAATTTTTAAACTCTGTTTTTTTTCTACATCTACTAATATTTAGCCTCTGGTGCTCAGTCTTCTAGACTGAGCTTAACAGCATGAACTTTCACAAATTAAGAAGTATTTGTATTGTGTAATTACCAAGGGGTTCTTCTGCTACTGATCCTGGCTACCTGCTCCCCTACAAAACAAACAAACAAACAAAAAAGCATAGACACATACACACCAACATGATTTAAACTTTCAAAAAGGATACTGGCCAAAGTGTTCATTTGCTGTGAATTGACTTCAGCATTCCTCTTTGAGAAGTCATATTTTCTTTTGTTGCCATAGCAATGCTTAAAAAAAAAAAAAGAAGCAATTAGATTGGCATTTGAAATTACCCTGCATGGATTCATCACACCTCTAAAAGTAAACAGAAAACTAAGGTAAGCAACACCATCTTAGAAAGCATCAGGAAGGAAAATGGCAGAAAAAAAAATCACTTCCTGTGATATCTCCCCATTTTTCTGAATGACCCCACTGCTATCTGACACATTTCCTATGTTTTCTTCAAAATAACAAACAAGACATTAACAAACAAGTCATATATTACAAAAGCTTCATGAAATAGTTTTAAAAGGGATCAGCTACTAAAATATTCTTAATCAGGAAAACGTGTTGACAGGGAAGTAGAGAATTAAAACCACAGAAATAGAACCACAAATATGCACTCATATATGACCAGCCCTCAATGTATGAACAAATTAGGTTTTAAAACTCTACTTGAGAATCACTAAGTAGATTTTGGGACAGGCATGCACCATTATGCTAGATTTCTAAGGCCACTGACAAAGGTCACAGATTCATTAAATATGACTGTGAAAGGGGGAAAGTGATCTCTTCGGACTACTCTGATGTTCTGTTTAAAAGAATCTGAGTTAATACCTTTTTGCTATTACTTCTAGGATGCCTTATTTTCTATGATCTTACCTCCCCAGACATTAGAATCCTAGAGAGCAGGGTCATATCCATTTTGGTATGTAACATACAGGGGAGTGCTTTAGATACTGCCATTCTAAACAGCTGTAGGAAATGGAAAGCTATGGGACAATTTCAAAAATATCTGAAACATTAAAAAAAAGCAATAGAGATTGTGATTCTGGGAAGATGGTGGCCTGGGTGCAAATTCCTGATCTATCTCTGGTTCACTGTTCTCCAGAGTAACACCAGAGCAAAAGCACACATGCTGGGGAGAGTCCATCTAGGTCTTGAGATCTCCAGCCAGCCAGCCAGATGGAGCGCTATACTTTCTCGAGGGAGGAAACAACCAAGAACAAATGGCAGGGAGACCTAAAGTTTTCTTCAAGTCGTGGGCGAAAACTCAGGTTTCCTTGCTTTTTGAGGAATCTAGATAGTGGAAGTTTGTGGATCTGCCTATATAAGGGCTACAGCAGTGGACTGAACTGCTCTGGGCCCTGTAACTGGAACAGACTGCTACTCACAGACACAGACTTAAAAGCAGAGGGCTTATAGTCTAGTAGCTGGTGAGATGCTTAGCTCCTAAAGAGGACAATTTTCTCAGCAGTCCATTGTCAGATGATATGCCACTGCTTGAATCTCTAACACTTTGGCCTATCCAGGAGCTGATGAATACATTTTTGGACTAGTAAAACCTCAGAGAATAAACCATCAGATATCTTGTGAGAGGGAGTATACTAAACAAACAACAAATAGTAGAAACTTTAATTCCAAGATTGAGAAGGAAAAGAAGAAACAAAAGTGTGTAAATGACAACAAATAAAACAGTAACAAAAAAAATCCCATAAAGCTGGTAACCTCCAAGAACAAAGTCATAAGGCACAAGATGAGTTCGGTTTGCACTGGGACTGCTTGGGAAACCCAAGAGAAGCTGCCCAAAGAGCTGGTCAGTAAATGGTCACTAAAGATAAGAAAGGAAATTAGGACTGTGGACAGGCAAATGAGAGATCTCCAAAGGGAAGAAGATAAAGTGAGATGATCTGTGAAAGATGTTGCCAAGAAAGACCAGAGGATGTCTGTGGGGTTCTGGCCAAGATGATCAGATGAACTTGCACACAAACTGTGCTCATGGGAGATGAGCAGCTGGCAGTCTTGTATGTGGCCAGGTCCCTATAGAAGAGCACAGATGAAGGCCACACATTCTCATTAAGCTCCCAGAAACCAGGTCATCAGGCAGGAGCTGTCCAAAGAGATAACAAAGGCTGGGACCATACAAAGAGATATCAGACAAATCTTTTTTTTTTTTCTCCAGATAGGATATTACTGTAGTCCAGGATGGCCTTGAACTCACAATCCTCCTGCCTCAGCTTCCTGAGTGCTGGGATTACAGCTGTGCACCACCATGCCAGCTCAAGAGGACACCTTCCTTTTTTGGGGGGATGGTGGGAGAGGACACTTTCTAAAGAAAAGATAGGAAGAAATGAAAGGAGGAGCAGAAATGGAAATTGACAAAATTCTGTTTGTAATACAGCAGGAGCCTTGGGCAAAGCATTATCTGTTTAAAAACAGGCATTAAGTTTTGTATAAAGTAACAGAACTCAAACCTAGGCTGAGTAATGAGGCCATTCTCTGAATCATATATGCCTCTGTGTTTTAAATTTAGGACTTATCACTATCTCCTGAGCACTTCAACTCACAAGCAGATAGAGATTAAGAAATAGTTCCCACTAAGCACTTTGTATTCCTTGGAGACTAGATATCCTCATCATATATTACATTATTACCTTGTTGAATATGCATGATTTCCAGTACCACATAAAGTACATCTAGACATCCTTTCCCATCTCATCCCATCATTTGGAGTCGAGCTGAGTGAAATCTAGACTATTATTTCAAGGATCAAATACTTACAAGGCAAAATACAAGCTCCAAATAATATATAATGCTTTTAAAATGATAAATCATTGATGTGCTTACTGGAACTTCAACTTTTGTACCTGCTCTGTGAACTATACTCAGTTACTTATTTTTTCAATAACAGATGATACTAAATAAAGCTGAATAAAAATTTAAGTTTATAAATATTAGTTCTTTTCAATAAATTAACATCAAAATCTATGTTCAGTTATGCAGTAAATTGTGACATAGGGAATATGCAGAAATAATTATTTGAACTTATATTTTATATTATCCATACATATATAACCACAACTAGCTTTATATTCTGTAAAATTTCACCTATCATACTTATCATATTTTGAAACAAAGGGTAATATTCAATAAAAAACCCTCTAAGAGCATCTTTTTTTTTTGGTGGCACTGGGGGTTGAAAACCCAGGGCCTTCCACTTGCTAGGCAGGCACTCTACTACTTAAGCCACACCTCCAGACCTTTTAGGCTTTAGTTACTTTTCAGATAAGGGCTCATGTTTTTTGCCCAGGGCTCGCCTCAGATCAGGATCCTATTATCTATGGCTCCTATTTACAGTAGGACTCCTCAAAGGAGTTATTTCAACTTCTATTCTATTAGTGTTGGGGGTGGAATTCAGGGCCTTGTGAGTGCCTGACAAATGCTCTACCACAAAGCAACACTTCAAGCCCTCTCTCACATTATCATTAATCTTCACAACAATCTTATAGGAAAGATATTATCATCAACCTCATGATTTAAAACACTGATAAGAAAATAAAGATGTGCAAATAAAAATTAAGAACTGCATTTGGTCAAGAAAGAGAAAGCAAAACTTCTCTAAGTTAGAGACTACACCTGATAGGCTGCAGTTTGCCTCACAAAGTTACTCAATCTTTAACTTCTAGAAAGAATGATCTTTGGAAGGAATGTGCTTATAAGATCCCAGATTTTGAGTTTCCAATCCTGGGACTTCTGTAGACTTACAGTCTCAAAAAGACATTGCTTACTAAGAACCCCCTCACGATAGCTCCTCGGCAACTAACTAATCATCTATAGCTCAATGTATGAAGAGACCCTCAGCACCAATCTAAAATTCAATATAACTTATGTCTCTATCAGGGCCAACTGGAAACTGTTCGGGGGACCATGGGTGTATCTCAGTGGTAGAGATCTTGTCTAGCAAGGCCCAGGTTCAATCCCAAGGTACCATAAACAAACAATGTTCTCCTTATTTTACTTTAAAAATCCAGTCCTCCTTCCCTTGATGGAATGCTTTTTGGTTCTATTTTGTACTGGAATAAAGCTGTCTTTGCATTTACTTTAACATCATTTCTTGTTTTATAAAGGTTCCAAGAAGTTAAAGTAGCTTATTCAAGGCTGGTGGCTCATGCCTGTAATCCTAGCTACTCAGGAGACAGAGATCAGGAGGATCGAGGTTCAAAGCCAGCCCAGGCAAATAGTTTGTGAGATCCTATCTCAAAAAAATCCATCCCAAAAAGTTGCTGGTGGGAGTGGCTCAAGGTGTACGCCCTGAGTTCAAACCCTAGTACCGAAAGAAAGAAAAAAAAAAGAATATGTTCAATACCACAAAAAAATAGAATAGGGGTGGAGGGAAAGAGAAAGTGATGAAAATATAAAGAAGTCGGGCACTGGTGACTCATGCCTGTAATCTTAGCAACTCAGAAGGCAGAGATCAGGAGGATAGAGGTTCAAGGACAGCTCAGGCAAATAGTTCGAGAGACCCTATTTCGAAAAACCCTTCACAAAAAAGGACTGGTGGAGTGGCCCTAAGTTCAAGCCCTCGTACCGCAAAAAAAAAAAAGTGCAGTGGCTCATGCTCGTAACCTCACACTTGGGAGGCAGAGATTAGGAGTATCATAGTTAAAGGCCAGCCCAGGCAAACTAATAAAGCTGGTGGCATTTACCTGTCCTCGCAGCTATGCAGGAAGCAAAAATAGAAGGATCTTGGTCCAGGCTGGCCCAGGTATAATTATGAGACTCTATTTGGATAACACCCAAAGCAAAAAGGGCTGGGGACACAGTCAAGTAGTAGAGTGCCTCCTGGCAAGCCCAAGGCCCTGAGTTCAAACCCCTAGTACCAAAAAAAAAAAAAAAGTAGCTTATCCAAGAAGAGAAATCTAATAGTAGCACAGCCAGATTTCAAACCAAACAATACTCCAAGCCTGAATTCTTTCTACCAAGTGGTAAACATACGAATGGTTTAGAGAGACTTGTGGCTTTATAGTAAGGAGACTCCAATTTGGGGATCTGAATCCTCAGTATTAACTAGTCATGTGACCAAAGGCAAATTAGTTTCTTTTTTGTTTTGGAGTTTGTACCTAATGAATCAATGTCTTCTTCCTCATGGGTAATTTAGAAGATTAAATACAATAGGACATACAAGACATGCTAGCACAGGACCAAGGACCCATAGTAAAAACACAATGTGTGCTGTTTTCATGGACCTCCTTCTACCTTTATGGAAAACAATGTTTTCATAGAGACATACTTACTTAATTTGCTTTTTTGTGGGGTATGTGTATGGCAGTTCTGGGGTTTGAACTCAGGGCTTCATGCTTGCTAGGCAGGCACTATGCTACTTAAGCCACACATCTAGCCCCTTTTTGCTTTAGCTAATTTTCTAGATGAGGTCTCACAGTCTTTGCCCAGGGCCAGCCTAGGACCTCAATCCTCCAAACCTGTGCCTCCCTCATAGGTGGGATTACAGGCCTGCACCACCACGCTTGGCCCTTTAATTTACTTTTTTTTCTGATTATAAACTAGATATATAAAAATTCATCAAACTTAGAATTAAGCAATTCAAATTAACAAATAAATGTCCCTTTGTTTAAGATATTAAATACTACTGGAGCAGATTTTCTATAGCTGCTATAACAGAAACCAAGTCTACATAAATGGCATAAATGATATTTACCAAACCAGTTTAAGGTTATTTTCAACTAAAAAGTGAGACTAAAGAGAGAGAGGCTAAAAATATTAAGTATGAATTAATTTGAAAAATTAAATAAAACAGCCTAATTCTAAGAACTAAGGAAATAAATATTTTGGGCTTCAAGTATCTATTATAAAAGGGTTGGTGGAGTGGCTCAAGTGGTAAAGTACCTGCCTAGCAAGGATGAGGCCCTGAGTTCAAACCCCAGTACTGCCAACAAAACAAAACAAACAAACAAGAAACAAAACAAACAAAAAATATCTATTAGAAGAGAAGGTCACAGTAAACATATATTACCGTCTAATGAAATTCTTTTCTTAAGGATGACTTGACTTTCGCTTCAGTTAATAGAGTTAACTTGATCAGTAATTAAATGTATGTGCAAGTAAACACCAAGGAAATAAAACAACAAAAAAAATTCCTACCTTATTGTTTCTTCTATTAGACGATCTGAGCTGCAAATAAAAAGAAAATTCCAATCTTGGAATTATTAAACACATATTTGTCACTCGTGCTTAATATTTCTATATTTATAAACTTTTCAGCCATTTATATACACAGAATACCTAGACTTTTAAAAGCACTTGGAAAAAATTCTTAATTCTGAAATGAATTTTTCTACATGTATATAATTTATATCTTTTTATTTGTTAAGCTAAATATTTTTCCACAGAGACACCTGATTATTAAAGTCAGAATAGTCTTAATGACAGCATAAAGAAATCAAAGTTCTTTAATCTAGATGGCTCAAAGTTGTCACCACTTCTACTCAAAACATAAGAATTACAACTAACTTGTTGAAACAGGACAGGCAAAGACAGTTCTGATGCCTCTAAGTACTAATTATTTACACCTTAAAGTTTCTTCCTTTTTATGGAAAGTGTTTTTTTAACTAAACCAAACTTCAGCTTACTAAACCTTAGAATTCAACAATGTGAATAAAGACAACAAATAGGCACCTCTGACTTGCAAACTGTATGCCTTTATGCATCACATATTGGAAAGAAGAAACAAAAAAGCCACTTTAGGGAGGAATTTATGCATTTGGTAAAGGGATAGCTTTCTAGCAGAAAGAAGGAAAACCATCTTCTAGACTTCAGTAGGCAGTCAAAATACTTGTATGTTGTTTCCCCATCCCCCAACTCTTCTTTCCAAAAGAATGTCAAAGCTAATTCTATAGAACAGCAAGTTGAAGTTCTACTGTAAAGTAGTGGGCTGCAAAATCCAAGTTACTGCATGAATTAAGGAACAAAGATAAGCTTTAAAATATCATAAATACCTTTTATAAATTCTGTGATTAAGAATTTAAAAAATTATAAAGATGGTGGTTAAAGTCAGATGTGGCTGCTTACATGCTGGCTTCACCACATATTAGCTAACTGGTATTAGACAGGTTTCTCTGTGCCTGGTGACAACAGCTCATTCAGAGAATTAAAGGAATTTATGCATGTAATGGTTAGATCAGTACCCGGCACAAAATAAACACTATTTTTGCTATTATGGTAGTTCCTCAATAACAACATACTGATTCTGAATCTAAGTACAAAGCTGCTATAAATTTCTAGCTAAACTCACTATTCTGGTGAAACCTCTTCATTAAGTATGCATTTATTTATTCTTTTAACAAATGCATATAGAAGTGCTCCTGGAGGGTACTGGGTCAGATAGGGGCTTCAATGAGGCATTAACCATTACAGACTTTACAATGAGACAACAACACAGATCAACAGCTGTGTTGGTAAAGTGGCCACAGGGTTACAAAGAGAGAGTCACTTGGTTAATAGCTTTCTGTTCAACACAGTAGTTCAGTTGATTATTCTCATCAGGGCCTCTTATAGTTCATTAAAGACCAAAAACAAAACAAAACCCCAGGCAGTGATATGAAAATAAGGAGTTCTATTGCCAATCTCAACAAACTAGTTTTGTGCTAACAGCTTTATTTTAGATAAAAATCAATGAAATAAACTATTAAATGTGTAACAGCAGACAAGCCATTAATCTGCTAATTTTAAGAATAATGATAGTGAATATTAGGAAGGGCTAATCAGGACCCAAGTCCTGTCCTAAATGCCTTACTGCTTTAACTTAATCCTCACAAAACAAACTCTAGAAGATTGATTCTATCACTCTCTTTATTTACAAAAATGGGAAACTGAGGCCTAGAGGCAGGGAGTAATTTGCTCAACAGTCACATAGTTATTAGGCAGAGCTGGGATTCAAACTGAAGCAGTCTGACGTCAGAGATATATCTCTTGCTGTTTCAATAAATGACAGCTACCTTCCCCGGTCTTCTTTCTCCATAATCAGTCCCAGTTTTTTCCCTACTTCTAGACTAGCTCTCATCCCTATTCCAGCAAGAATCACAGAAAGATCCTGTTAAGAGGATGAAAATACAAAATATTTACAAGCCACGTATCTGAAAAAAGCCAGTCTTTCTAGTCTGGAGGAGGCTATAAACACCACCAAATGTTGGCAGGGATATGGAGAAACTGGATTATTTACTTACTACTTGTGGGAATATAAAATGATACATGCCTCAGTGGAAAACAGTTTTGCAGTTTAGATACCTTAAAAAACTAACACACAACCACCATATGACTCAACAATCCTCTCCTGGACATTTATCTGAGAAATGAGAACTTACATTCACACAAAAACCTGTATCCACATGTTTATAGCAACTTTATTTATGACAGACAAAAACAAACTGTGTAGTCTATCCATACTATGGAATACTACTACTCAGCAATAAAAGCAATGAGCCACAGATACATGCAACAACCTGGATGGATTTCCAGAGAATTATGGTTAGTGAAAAAAGCCAATCTTTCTACTATGGAGGATGAGGCAGAGAACAATTCTTAAGTCCAGGAGTTTGAGGCCAGTCTGGTTTGAGATCCCATTTCAAACAAATGAATGAACAAACAAAACAACACAATAAAGAAGCCACACATTCTTGAAGTGACAAAATTTAGATATGCAGAATGTTTTAGTGACTGTCAAGGGGTAATGAAGGGAATGGGGGGGGGGAAGTACATACTCTGTATCTTGTTTATATTAATGTCAATATCCTGGGGGAAAATGGTAAAGAATATACAAGATGCATTAGTTCTTACAATTGTATATAAATTGTAATGTATACAAATCCATAATCAACTCAAGAAGTTAAAAATTAATAAACAGAATGTTGACCAGTGTATCAAATGACAACCCTAACAAAAACTCAATGCCAATTTTGATTGACTATAAAGCTACACACCTTAAGTGGTATACAAATGTGAAACAGCATTGAGAAAAACTGAAAAAACATTCTGCAGAAATTCATTTCTGTCTAACTTGGTAAGACTGCTTGGGAATAAATGCAAAAATAAAAAGCATTTCATACAAATTATCAGAAAGTCAGCGAGATATGCTTCATTATTACCCTTCTACAAGATCTGAAGATATATCATTTCTCTTTTTTTGTTCTTTTATTTTATCATTTTTACATTTACTTACATGTGTATACATTGTTTGTGCCACCTCCCCCCCTCCCAACGAACCCCCCAAGCATTTCTCTTGTATGTCATTTTAACTGCTAAGGTCAGAGCTAAAGTTCAGTAATTAACCACAAGCCTACCTAACTACAGAAAATAAACTCAATATTATATTCCAAGAAAATGATCTCGAAGAAGTGGGGTTAGGATGGTCACTAAGGAATAGTTTTTTACGTAATTACACATAAAGAAACTCTGCTATTTTTTGGCACACAAATACAACCCTTGTTTTACGTAATGAGTACTTTCTTTAAGGTACTCATGTCAGAAGACATTTTGGCCAACTTAAATCATATTTTAAATGTAATAAAACCATTTTTTTTCAGGCCAGGAGTGGTGGTACACACCTATAATTCTGGCTCTTGGGAAGCTGAAGCAGGAGGAAAGAGTTTAGGGACTGCCTGAACTATATAAACTCTGTCTCAAAACACCACCACCACCACCACCAAACCCAAAATCCACCCATTTTTCATTTACACAAATCAAATAAAAAATCTTGTAAGGCAAATATTCATGTCTCTACTTATTTTCAATTCTCTTTGTAAAATCAAATTTTCACATAATAGGTTTTCTTAAAAGAGTATAACTACCTTTGATTATGGTAATTAATCTGAACTGCAGTCAAAGAAAACAGTATTGGTTGGATTACGTGAAAAGCAAAACAACCTAAGAAAGACTAAAATTATAACCTCAAATAAACTAACCTATGGAAGAAGGGGTTTTCTTCCTTTTAAGCCCATTAAATATAGTACACTTTAGTCTTAAGGCATATATTAAAATACAACATGAATGTCCAGGAGTCATGCTCACAGAGTGGAGCTTCTTTTTATAGAAAAAAGATACTAATGCTAGCCTGACCATGCATGTAGCACAGCAGAGTTACAGTAAGTCACAAACAAGTATTTCACAGACTTCTACTCCTGTCCGCAGCTTATACAGAGGCAAAAATGGAAGAGGACCAATGATTTTAAATTCCCTCTCAAATTACCCAAAGTCTCCAAGCCCTTATTAATTTGGCTAAAACCAAATAAACTAAATAAACACCATTCATTAAAAAGTATTCTACAGCCAGGCATGGTGGCGCACACTGTAATCCCAGCACTGGGAAGGCTGAGGCAGGAGGATCATAAGTTCAAGGTTAGCTTGGGGTACACAGTGAATTCAAGTCCAGCCTGGGCTATATATGGAGATCCTGTCACAAAACAAAACAAACAAAACAAGCATCCTGAATAATGTGGCTACAGCTCAACAGAGTGGCTCCATAAAGACGGCATGATCTAGTAAAAATTGAATTTAAAACTGCTTTACTTTGGGATATAAAATATATAATCAAGTAGAATTATCCTTCTTAAAAAAGTACTTCATAACAGCCCAGAGGCATTTGGTAAAGTAATCTAAGCCTGTAATTAAGCAGCAAATTTCTGTTTCTCAAGACAATTTAAACTGGCTGACAACAATGAGCTAAATTTCATTACCAATTATTGTCCTGAGGAATCACTAAAGCCATATTTAAATAATTTTCTTATTTAAAAATAACTCATTTCCCCTACATACTGCAAATGGTAAGAATTTCCAGAGTCAAGTTGTGACTTCAAGCATTTATTTTAAAGCAATTTAAACCAACAAAAATGTAAAAACATGGCAAAATCACTTAGAGGATATCTAACTAGAATCCTCCTGAAAAGGGCTGGCGAGTAAGTAAACAATAAATAAGCAAGTAAACATGAAAGTAAATAAGTACATAATAATTAGATAAAATTTTAAACTAACCCCTTTGTAAGCTACAATAATTGATGAGGTGGTCACCAAACAATCAGATCATCTACATCAAGCACAGTGTTGACTCAATCTCATTCAACCAGAGACTCTTAAGGTCTATTTTATTTATTTCTACATAAATATCCCTTAAAATATGTCAA